GGGGGGGGAGTGGAGGAGGGCGGGGGGGGGGATGTCAATGCGTCGTTGCGGCGTGATGTGCATGTTGCTGCTCGGCGGCGGACGGACAGCGGGTGGGAGGAGTAGTGCACTCGGCGGCGGAAAGGGCAGGAGGATGAAGAGTTGGTGGACGAGGAGGAGGAGGTGAATCCACAGGCTTCACAGGCCAGAGCCAGCTGCCTCAGGGCATCCAGGGAGTCCATCTTAAGCTCCCGTAACAGGTCGCTCTGACCTGCAGCCACAGAGAGAAACATTCCTCTGATTCATGTGTGCACAGCAGTAACTCAAAGTAAACAGAGGATGGAAATTCAGCTTTTAATTCAGTGTTACAGCCGTGTTATTATTCTGAGGCGTCTTGCCTTTAGCGTGACACCTCACGGATGTAAAGGCAGAAGAAAGGCCCACTCTTTAGCAATTGATTAAAAGCTGCATTAATTGAGTTTTTTGGCCACTCGGGGCAGCAGAACATCAGTTTCTACACACTTGACAAATACAAGTCCAATACTCCCTCTCCTTTCAGCTCTGTTTTTGGCTTCCTCCAGCTCGTGATGGAAATAGCTGTGTTATTTAGCTGCTAAATCCTCCACTATGTTCACGCAGCTGGTCGCCTAACTTTGTCTTTCATATTGTTTTGTGCTGGAGAGACAGCGAACAGAATTTCTTCACCAAAAATCAACTTTCTGCTGCGGCGGGAACGAGGCGTGATGAAAGCAGATTTACAGGCTGGAAAACAGAACATCAGGACTGAGGAAGTGGAGGGTTTAACGTTTAGGTTTTTTGGGATTAGCTGTTCTCAATAAGTTTCAAACGTCACTTTTTTACAATGTTACTTGACATTAACGCATAAACAATGATCGTCACATAAACTGTGATGACATCCAGTGACATTTGCATAAAGTTCTAGCATTAATCTATCTTTTTTAAGGTCCCATATAGTGTAAAGGTCTGTGTCCATGTGTAGTGTGATTATAGATCAGGTCTAGCTTCTATATTAATACTGTGAAAGTATCAAAGCCTCAGTCCACAGAGAAATGCACACAGCCTGTTATTCAGAAACTGAGCCTTAAACCAGCCGTCAGGACTTCTGGAACTTTGTGATGTCACAACAAGCAGGTCACCAAGCCCCGCCCACCTGGACCCACCATTCCAAACCTGCAGGATTTGGTTTCTCTGAGTGTTTTTACCTGAAATCTGCTATATTTTGTATTGGATCAAGTCAGAAAACAGTCAGCCAATCAGAAGAGAGGCTCAGAGCCTCCTCTCTTCTGATTGGCTCACCTGACCTTTTGTTACTAGAGCTCCAGAGAGAAGCCTGAGAGAGGAGATGTAAAACTACACTGAGACGGTTTTTGCTTCTTAAAACCACAAATATATCTTCTTATTGGATCAACACTAATAAAACACAGAGAAGAAGAAAATTTGCAGCCTGATTTATGAATTCTCTGATAAAAGCAGAAGGAAGCTTTGATATCATTATGTTGTTGCCTCCCACTACCTTGAGGACAGTAATGTTCCAGGTGAAACTCTCCACAAGCTTTGCTCAGCTTGCGTCCCTTTCAGTCCCTCTTTCTTCGCCGTGCCGAGAGAGGTCTCTCATGGAAGTCCATGCCTGCAGAGCACAAACAGGAGGCGGCGCATCAGCTGACAGTGGTAGTAATGAATTTGTGTGTGTGTGTTATATGTTTTGTATCGGAACTACCAAGATCCTGCAGCGCTATGACTGAAGTCCACGGTAATGAGAGCAAAATAAGTACAGGGTAGGGTGGGAAATCCAGAATATCAAACTATCAAAAATTCCAATGCAAAATATAACACTGTCTTCGCTTTAGGTGGAGCATTTGACTTTTTTTGGTTGAACATAACACCACCACAGATGTCCCCTGAGGGCCAATTGTGTGGCACACAGCGCAATGCGGATATTCTCTGGGAATTGAGATCTAATCGTATTACGTTAGAGATCTATATGGATATATACATATTAAAACACCAGAGATGACCTATATAGAGTTACAAACGTATCCTCTGTAAAACAACTCTACTCAAAAAAATTAATGCAGTTAAAGGCTTAGTGAGTTCTCTGACTCCCAGGTCATGGTTTGTCGAATAACACGCGCTGTTAGTTATCGAACAACTCATTAATGATTGATTGTTCTACACAAAAAATACACTGGTTATGGTTGTGTAGCTTTACGTCCTGTACCCTTTTCCTAAGCTGTTGTAACAGCGCTCGCTCCCTGCAGACTAAGCTGTCACCAGATGGCCTTTGTCCCCTTGCATAACAAAACCCTGACACCCCCTCGAGGTTTAACGCATAAATTCCATTAAGAAGATTTATTTAAAATGTAGTTGAAACACAGCTGCGGCCTTGTTGCAGTGCGCTTCTTTTTTGGTTATTGCGAGCGTAGGGTGGCAGAAAAACAACATGCTTAGAAACACAAGTCATGAAATTTGCTTCTTTCTCTTCAACTGAGGCTTGGCGCTCGTATTCTTGATACTTTGGCTGTCGGAGTGAGTTGTGTGTTTTTGCGTTTGAAACAACTGACTGAGCGACGGGAAAACCGCTTCGCCTCTCAACAGTGAATCCTCGTTTCCAAAAAGCAAAGAAAAAAATGAGAGTGACCGTGGTTTTTATCTCGATTAGAAAATCCACATAAACAAACATCTGGGCCGAAGTAGTCAAAATTCTCCTGGCAACCTACTGTATATCCACTTGTAAATGTTGTTTACTGAACAAAACCCGTCTCCGTGGAGTTTCACCCTCAATTAAAGTTTGCCAGCCCAGTATATCACGAGGAAATACTTGAGATCACCAGACTTAGAGAAATCTACGGATGTTCGAAGTGCCAGACTTTGATTGCCAGATTCCGAAATGCTTGGACAGGTCGACTTTTATATTGTTTGATAAGACGTATCATGCAATGGAGGACACCAATGACGTCCATGCTACTGTGAGACAGTATAGTAATATTTCTCATTTCATGAAGTCAGTTTCACAAGAAGATCCAAGATGCAGGTAATACTGGTTTTCGTTTCATCACAAACAGCACACAACCAGGTGAACACAGCACAGCCGGTTCATCCGGAATGGTGCGCTCGTGGCCTGCGCGCGTGTTACTTCTTCTCTGCACCTGGGCATCTCTCCTGAACGGCCATCGTGCGTTCTCATCAGCTGTTTCTGGGCGGCGATCATCTGGACAGACGGGAACAAAATGTTTGTGTTGTTAACTTATCACTCGCAGACATGAAATCCCCTTTAATTTAAAACTGGACAAAGGAGTCGTATTCGTATAGTTTCCAAAAATGGACAGGGTTGAAAAACTGGGGAAATGCTGCCTCCTTGAAAATACTCAACAAGCTGAAACAAAAAAGTCAATCCAAATCCAAACAACTTCCGAAGACGGAAAACTGTTTGGATAGATTTCCACTATGCCGCAGCATCCAGCTGGGTGAAGTGTTGCACAACCACTAGGTAAATCAATTTCCCCCCCGGGTCCAGCACGCTGCCAAAGATGAAAAGGGAGTGGACAGAGTAATTACAGAGGATAACAGAGATGAGGAGATATGAGAGTGAGACAGTGTGGGGGTGAAAGGCACCAGAGGAGGCAGAGGAGTCTCATTCTGGCAGAGTGTATCCCTTTATCCAGTGCAGTGTCTAGACTAGCCTAGACCAGAGCAGTATATCTGTTAAAGCCTTACGGTGAGTTCATCAGTTTATCACTGAGGGTCCAGCCTGCAGAGAAACTTTTCATGAATGTCGTAACTCTGTTCTGGGAAAAGCGAGGAGCGACGCTCCACACGGGTCCTTGAACTTGTGGCAGCTCCTCCTGCTTAATTTTCCGAAAGTAATGTACGTGACTCAACGTTGTAACTCAGCAGGTTTCCCTCATTAGAGAGGAGATCACAGACACCTGAATAATTTGTGATAATGGGGCTGTCGCTGAGCTGATGTTCACAGCCCGGTGGTGTTTTAGAGGTGGGGAGGAGAGGATGTAGAGCTGATGGGACAGTTATTATTCTGCCTCAGCATCTCAGCTCGTCCCTTGGGAAGATAACAAGTAAGTGTGTGTGTGTGTGTGTGTGGGTGTGTGGGTGTGCAATGCTGCAAATGGTGGAAAGGGAAATGTGCTATAAGAGATTGTGACCCACCAAAAAAAAAAACAAAAAAAAAACACATACTTTTTTAAAACTCTTTGTTTTTAGATTTAACTGCAGTTAATGGAACTAAACTTTTACTGTAACTTAATGTAAAAAATAAACAGAGTCCTCCTGGAACTAAAGGAGTAGACAAAGCTTTTAATTAACTTAGGACAACAGCTTTACAGGAAATGATTGACAGTTCTCAACATCAGATGAATTGGCTGAACGCGGCCTTCAAACTTGGAAAAAGTTTCTGAAGGAATTTGAGGCAAAGAAGTAGAAAAATATCAAGTTGTTAATGAGGTTTGGGAGCTTGGAGAAGGTGGAAAGTCCAACGCATTGAATTATTTGTCTGATTTATCTAATTAACTGTGTCAGCTCTCTTGGTGGATATTTCCAGATTTCAGTTTCCTAACAAAAACTAAGGCTCCTGAGCGGCTTCCTGGTTGTTTGAGGCCTCTGCACGCGAATAACGTCACCGATTAATTGCATCAGATTTTGAGAATATGCATCGTTTCTCAACTTTAACTAGAGCACATAAAAATCCTCTTGCACCTCTGAGCGTGCACACGTTTCCTCCTCTAACTGCTATAGTCATGTACTGTGTGAAACACTGACACACACACACACACACACACACACAGGTCCTTGTTATCTCCCCTCTGATTGCCTGTGAGCCTGTCATGTTCACTTGGGGAGGGGACGGCTGAAAGGCGAGGTGTAGTGGAGAGGAGACGCGGTAATTGGAGAAGTTGTGGATGTGTGTTGATACTGCACGTCTGCTGTAGTACATGTGTGGATCACAT